GGCTGGCTCTTGGGACAAGTTTTGCAAATTTTAAAATGCCTTCATGGGAGGGTGGCAGTCTGGAGGAGTTGGATTTCCTAGGCAGGCTGTATTTGAATGCACACCACAATAGGCAATGTTCACCTGTGATGTTGAGCCATCATGAATGTAAGAACTGAAATCTAATGAATGAAATGAGCAGGCCAGGGAACGTTAGACTGAGAAGGAAATAGCTAGATGATGGCAAGGAAAAAAGGCAAGCTTTGTCTTACGTGCTGCAGCTTCTAATATACAGAGTGCTCAGAGAAATCAGAGTAAGCATTTTCAGTATAGAAGAGGTGCCTGTACAAAGGTGCAAGACTGAAGCTCAGCTTTAAATTGTATTTCCACTTTTGCAGTCAAATTTGAGAAAACCCCATTATGTTTGTTATTTGTTCCCAATCACACAGCATGTATAGTTTTCAAAATATTTCTTTCCTTTCAGATTTTCTCAGCAGGAGGTGTCATGGCTGACTGCCAGGTTTTTTTAAACAATGTTGGAGTGAGCCTGCCCCAAGTCTGTCCTCATTAACATAAAATGCAGGAACTCCAGTTTCTATACCTTTAACTCTTTGCTAGAACAGACAGTGTTCAAATCTAGGCACAATCGATAATAAGATCTTCCTGCACAGCACAGATGGGGTTAATTATGGAAAACACAGCTGCCCAGCCCCTTCATGAGCAAAGAGAACTATGCAGGATTTTTCCCTGCCGGAGGGTCCAGAATACAGCATCTAAAAAGGTAAGCTACAATTTTTTATTTTTTATTGTTTTAAATTATGCTATTTACATCTATAAAATAGGCATTATCCCAATTTGGCGGCAACATTTGAAATACACTTTCACCAATGTGCATATACAGCACTGTTTATGTTGACTGTGCTTAGGTGTGACTCAAGAAAAACAACTGGCTATTGGCCAATAATGATTAATTTGGCTGCAAGGGATATTCTCCATCATAGGCACAAGCTGTCATCCAGTCATTGGTATCTGATTTGTACAGATATAGTGTAATTACCATAAGGGTATTAACATATAGTAATAGGGCTATGCACTGATATATAGACAATTTGGATGTGGTGCCACTAGAATAAATACAAAAATAGCCAATTTTACACTTTTTCTACTGATTTGTATGGGCACTTAATGTGAAACTGTATGCATTTTACAAATATTTGCGAGCAGGAAGGATGTTTATTGCAGAAGAGATGTGCTATGTCTCTTCTGCAATAAATACTCCTAAATGAAATATATACAAACATCTGTGCAACAGATACTATTTTTAGCTGCTAGCACTTAGTGAAAAAAAATCACTCAATAATACTAAAATAAATATGCTGTGCTTGGGTCCGCCTGTCCGTTTTTGTGTCCGTTTACACCCACCTGTATCCAATCCTATCCACTAAAAACAGATGGATGTGAAATCCATTCCCCATCCATCTAGTGCAAAGGTCTCCAAACTGTGGCCCATGGGACGGATATGGCCCTTTGCTTGCTTTTATCCGGCCCTTGGGGCACTTTTCCTTCCACTGATATGAAGCACTATTCCTTCTATTGACACCAATGATGGGGAGCTATTCTTCCCACTGACACCAACAATGGTGTACTATTCCTCCCACTGACACCAATGATAGGGCACTATTCCTCCCACTGACACCAACGATGGGGAACTGTTCCTCCCACTGATCCCAATGACGGGGCACTGTTCCTCCCTTTGATCCCAATGACAGGGCACTGTTTCTCCCACTGATCCCAATGACGGGGCACTGTTCGTCCCACTGACACCAGCGATGGGGCACTGTTCTTCCCGCTGACACCAGTGATAGGGCACTGTTCCTCCCACTGATACCAGAAATGGGGAACTAAATATCCTACTGGCACCAATGATGGGGCACTGTTCCTCCCACTGACCACCAAGCCTAGGGTATTGTTTACTCCTACTGACGTGAGGGCATTTTCTACTCCCACTGGCAATATTCCGGACCCCTAAAGTTTGAAGGGCAGTAAACTGGCCCTTTGTTTCAAAAGTTTGGAGACCCCTGATCTAGTGGATCAGATTGGATGACAGTTGGATCTAAACAGAAAGATGGTGGGTTTACATCTGAGTTCCCATAGAGGACAGTGGGCTGTGTCCATACCCACTCTGCAAAAGTGGAGCAGACACTGACCTGTCATCCACCTGTGCAGGAGGGATCAGCGGACAGATTCCCAGCTAAGCAGGTGAATCTGCTGGCGGAGGCAGCCAGTGTAAAAGGGCTTGTGATATATGATCAAATTCAAAATATTACAGTAATAACGCAAATAAAACATGACATTACAAAAAAACAACTTCAATGTGTGCACAACCCTGTGATGAAAAATAGTGTTCCATTCACTCAATCCAACAAATCTCACAAAATATGTGAACAACTGTGCTCCCAATGCAGAAATCCTCCACGACCCCCCAAAGATGTCTTCTCACCTTCCATATAGACTGTCTCAACAAAGGTCAAATATGTTATTAAAAAACATCAGGATTCAGGTAAGTATTAGAAGTCTTCCAAACTACATAGAGCTTCAGCCCAGATCAATTATCTCTCAAGGGTCAGCCTCACGGATCAAACAGCCAGTCCAGCCCAAGGGAATTAATATCACATATCAGCTCAAAGGGAAAACAGAAACATCCATAGTGGTCTCTGCATAAATTGTATTCAATAAAATAAATTAAATTAAACTCACATTAAAAAAGCAGAACAATCACTTGTGTGTACAATTGTTTGTGGTACAGCACTAGTTGTTAATGCAATGACTGATACACATTCAAAGTGCACATTTAAAGTGAAGGTCACTCCATACAGTCACAGCAATAACTCTCTCTTACTGAGTGGAGCTTGGCGTTCTAAGGGAGAGGTATTGTTGTGACTGTGTGGAGTGACCTCCACTTTAAATGTGTATCATCTATTGCATTAACAATACAACATTGCAGAGACCACTATGGATGTTTCTGTTTTCTCATTGAGCCGATATATGGGATTACCGTAATTCCCTTGGACTGGACTGGCTGTTTGATCCATTGATGTTGTTTTTCAAGAGTGACACAAATTGAAGTTTATTCACTATTTGATGCATTGGCTCATCACTTTGATAATAGCTATGTCATGTTTTGTCTGATTTATTACTGTACTGTTTTGAATTTGATCACTTATCAAGTTATTAAGGGCAACACATTTATTATAATAATAGAATACACCTACCTGTCTGCTAACAGGCTGAGTTCTGCACGTGGTCCCTGTGTGCCAGAATGGCTGACTCTTGTGCATGCATAGGAGTTACGTCAGTCTTTTCTGGCCAATGAAAATGCCTGAATACTGTCACTGGGAGGAACCACTTACGGACTTATGAATCTATTCTATAAAATGATAGGGACCTGTTTTTTTCAAGAAATGAATCTTTTTTAATTTAATGTTCTGTGAGGCTTATTATAACAGAAGTTAGTGGAAAGACGGGTTATTTCTGTTGTTCCTAACCAAAGAGTCTTTGTTAAAGTAATAGTGAATTTTGGTGTTTTTTTTTAGCTTTCAACCCAAGGCAACCAAATCTCTCATGGTTACAGAAAAGAACATTTTTGAATGTACATTCTTTTATTCTAAGAACTGTGTAGGCGTACATATTAACAATTTTATGTTTTCCCTATTTTTATTCCAAAAAAAAGGCCTTTAAGGGCTACTATGTAGGCCATCACAATAGTACAGGTAATTTTAGGAGTAGCAGGTGTTCTGAACATTACTGGAACTCCCACTTCTATATTTCCATTCCAGCAAGATTCTTTCAAAGTAAAGTTTCCTGTCCTCTCCAAGAAAGCACTGCCATTCCCTTCTTCACCTGTTGATATTAGTGCTGAAGGTTCAGAACAAAAAAAAATTGGGTACAGGTAAGAAATGTCAGAAACTGTCATCGATTTCATCATTTTAACTGAAAACATGAATAATAAGCCATGTACATGTACTGTGTATACAAATTATATTCTGTTTGCAGACACTAAATTCAGTGAACCTTGCAGTTTTTTTTAGGATAAGTAACCTTCTCTAAAAGGTTTTCCCCTAGTTTCACAAACACATCCCTTCCTTTTTATTGAAAGAACATTTCTGGTGCTGCTTATTCCTTACTTTGGTATTCGTTTCACTTCTCTGCACCACTCCTGTATATACGAGAAAAGAAGGCAGTCATGCAGGTCCAGGGCCAAGGCATTATCTCCTGGCAGTGTATGAGAGAATGCAATGATGTTGGTCCTGATGAATCAATGCATTCTCTCTTCTGTGTACAGGAACAGGTAGCGATACTAGGTTAGGAGAATGGGTAAGAACCTTCTTGTATGCTATCCCTATTATACAGTCACAAATTTAATGCTTGTCTGTCTTCTAGATAGGTAATACTCTGTGTATTCATCATGCCTTCTGTCCAAGAACTAATGAATATACACTTAGAATGATGTAATTAGGCAGTGTAAAATGCGAATGGCTATGGGCAAGAAACAGTAAATCATAGTATTCATTAGGTTTTCCATTTACTGTAGCCAGATCAATGAGAATGAATTCTGATTGGCTGCTTTTGGTTATCGCGCTTTGCACATAATCAATGCACTTTATTCTCATGTAATTAACAGGCCTAAATGTACAATGTAGGGAATCTGGTTGTCTCTGCATTCTTTTGCATTCTCTCTTTATGAAAGTATTAAATAGTATGCTCCCCATTATTTGTAATCATTGCTATATCCACTATATGCGTGACACATTACATACAATACATAACTGTTTATTTTAACCAGAATTTGCATTACATTAGATGTTTTTTCTACCCTGTACAAGTCTATATATAAAAAAGGTTTGTGCATGAATCCATCATTCCATCTTATATAGTAACTGTGGAGCAAGATAGTGCTTGAAAAAAAACAGTCTTTTAAGGACTCCAAGTAAATTTTAACACCTTAATAGTCTTGTCTGTGTTCATACATTTTCATGTAATCTTTCCATATAGTTTCTAAGCTCTTTGCAATCTCCCATGTCTAAGTCTTGGCACACCCATTTTATATCATCCTCATTGTTCAATAACATGGGTTTGATGTTAGGACATCCATCTTCAGGAGGGATATTACTAAACGTAGTAAATTTTACACGTTTCCTTTTGGAGGTAGGCGAGGCAGCAGACTCCCCCCTCTGTTCCTTCACTTCATTGAATGAAGTCTCTGCAGATCTATATGTCTGTCCATTAACAGGTTTGGGTGGGTTTGAAGTAAGAAGGTATTTGCCTTCTGTAACATTAACTCCTCTGTCTACAGCTGTTATGCATTCTTCTGGCTGCATAGGGAAGTTAATATTATTTTCCAAAATTTCTGTTCGATTTGTAAGACCAACCCAGTCATGTGCATGTGTCATTGTTTCTTGCTCATCTACTGGGACCTGTTTGTGTCTATATTTCAATGCAAATGTAACACAATTTATAAGGAAAACAAGTATGGCCAGGCAAAAGACACCCAACAATGCATACATTCCAATTTCCAGATCACTCAGACCTCGTGTATTCTGCACAAGATCATTTTCTTCCGTATCTCCATTATTACTTGGTACATCAACCTGTACAGGAAAACTGGTAAAATCCATGGGGATGTTGGGGAGTTGACTGTCATCATCTAAAAGACTATCCCGTTCTCTTTTTTTGTTGAGTTGGGTTCTATCAGTCGTAGCCCTGTTCATGATCATAACATCTCTTTCCATAGACGGGGTTCCAAAATAAGCACCATCAGGTTTCAGACCTTCTAGTGAAATCTTCTGTCTTCTGCCAATGTAGTGGGTTTCAAAGCGATCTCTGTAATGCACATTTCTACTGTCATTTTTAGTGTCCTGCCCAAATTTGACTTTTATGTGTCCAAAACCAATAGTGAGGATGCTCTTTCTTTTTGACTTTTGACAAAGCTCACTTATCATGAGTTCTACCTTGACCAGTGCTCCTTGGCCTTCAGCAATGGCTGAGAAAGTTGGCCATTTTGATTTGGCATCTTGAGAAACAGTGAAAACCTTTTCATCCAATGATGTCACACTTAATGAAAAGTCTTTAGCATCATAAAAATCCAATGGAGTCACTGTACCATCGCTAAACTGGATCCAGCAACTGATCTCTACTTCCTGTATGCAAAAAAAAAAAAAACAAAGGAAAAGCAAGCTCAGCAAAAGGCAGATAAAGATATTTTATACTATAATAAAGTGTAAACTGGGAGGTGAAGGGCACACATTCATTTCTAAGACATAAAAACACTAGTTTAAAATTCCTAGCAATAAAATGTGTTTTCTTTCTCGGTGGTTCCATAAAGACAATGAGTCCCCAGGGCGAAATGGATTCAAATTTAACAGCAGAATAATAAAGTGACTGTCAGAAGACATTATTATAAGATAACTTAAATTATCACAGTTGTGTATTTAGATGAAAAAGAATTGCATGTTTCTACAGTGTATTAATTTAAAGTTTTTCTGATTACCGGTACTCTTAAGAAGTTATGATATTTTGTATGTAACTGTCATCTAATGATGATGAATACTGCTACCTCTGCTCCCACTTTAAAGTGGTCATGAAGCCTAAACATTTTTTTACGTTAATGAATTCCTTGCATTAAAGTAACGAATGCTTAAGGTTAAATTTATGACCTCTCACCCCCACCCCCACACCCCCACTATTATTTACCTGAGCCTGATCTTGATTCAATGCAGTGCCCACCTGCAGTGGCTCTTTACTCATCTCCCCACTCTCTCACAAGCTTTGCTGAGAGTAGCGGGAGCCATTGGTTCCCACTGCTGTCAGTCAAATTCTGTGAAGAGGGAGCGGGGGAAGAGCCTTGCTGTCTGCCAATGGACACAGATGGCGAAGCTCCAGAATGAGCATGGGGACCCAAGAAGATGAGGTTTTGGGGCTGTTCTATGCAATTCCACAGAGAGGTAATTATAAATCTGTTTTTCTTTTTTTTAACCTGTTCCGCCCGGCCAATAGCAGAATGATGGCTGAGCAGGACTCTCGTTGATCCGGGTGGGTGTCATATGACGTCCTTCTGGGATCACACCTTGTACGTGCCCACAGGGCCGTGCTGTGGTGACATCTCTTACTGGCTGTGTACCTCGGACACAGCCGATGACAGGTCTGTGTACCAACCCGTTGCCAGTACCATGTGACCAGCTGTGACTAATCACAGCAGGTCACATGACAATTGTAAACAATTGATGGCTTCTTTTCATGCCATCCATTGTATACAATTGTGTCACTAGCTGTGTACTGTCACAGTGATCACATGTTCAGACTGGGCCAGTCACAGCCCATCTGTGTCATGTGACTAGCCATAGCCAATCACAGCTAATCATGACTAAAAAACCCTGAATTAATAGATTTCATTCAGTTAAATGCTTGCTTATAGCAAAGAAATCCTTTGCTATAAGCAATCATAATGTGTAAAAAAAATACTGATCACTCCTCCATGGTAGTACTATGTTACTTTGGTAACATTATAGTACTCTGGTCACAGTGTTTATGAAAAAAAAAAATCTTAAAAAATAATACATTTTTTTTTTTACATTTCTTCATTTCCAAAAAATTATCACAAAAAAAATCACAATTTCAAAAAATTCACCATGCCTCCTATTAAATACCTCAGACTGTCTACTTTTCAAAAAGGGGTCATTTGGGGGATATCTGTACTGTTCTGACATTTTTGAGCCTCAAGAAATGAGATTGACTGTCACTACTTCAGAACTGATAAAGTTTCAGATACTGTATATCCCATAGTTTGTGAACTCTATAACTTTCCTACAGACTAAATAATCAATACTGATTTGTTTTATTTTCACTAAAGAAATGTAGCAGAATACATCTCGGCCTAAAATGATGAAGAACAATTATTTACTTGCAAAATTTTATAACAGAAACCAAAAAAAACGTGTTTTTTTTATCAAAATGTCCTGTCTTTTTTTGTTAATTTAGCAAAAAATAAAAACCCCAGTGGTGAATAAATACCACCAAAAGAAAGCTCTAGTTGTGTGAACAAAATTATAAAAAGTTTGTTTGGGTACAGTGTTGCATGACAACACAATTGTAATTCAAATTGAGAGAGCGCTGAAAGCTGAAAATTGGCCTGGGCAGGAAGGGGGTAAAAGTGCCCAGTATTGAAGTGGTTAATAAAACATTAGACTTTAGAATCACTTTAATGTCATGTCTATATTTTACGTGAAACGCTTTTTTTCTAGATAAAGAAGGGTAAGTTTACAACTTTTGTTAAATTTTTCTTGTTTCATTATTCTAATTGAGGAGTTTTTTCTCTCATATCCTGGCCTGTGTACACTCAGCACCTGGTTCTCCTCTGAGGAGCACATTCTTTATTTACATCTTTAAAAAAATTACATTACATAGGAATATACAGAGAATGTGTTTTTAAGGGTATCTGTCCCATAAAAAGTGTGTTTGCACAAGAAGCAGTCCCCAATGTAAGCAATGCAGCATGTTTCCAATGGATCTGGTAGTGTTATAATGTATCATTACATTCACTCTTTGTTAGCCATTTAAATAATAAATCACAGTGCCCAGGCAGTGAGTCAGTCATTTAAACAAAGAGGCCAAAACCACCCTGACTTTTCTTTGCAAGTGACAGATTCACTTTAATTGATAACACTACCAAAAGGTATAATAAAATACCAGATTATATGCATTTGTTAAATATCCGTAACTCCCAACTGTCCCTCATTTACAGGGACTGCCCCTCTTTTTGGAACTAAGGGAGGCCATACATGATTCATTTTTTTAATTCAATTATTGGGTTGAGCAAAAAAAGTGAGTCGATTTTTTTAATTTAATTATTGGGTTGAGCAAAAAAAGTGAGTCCACACATTCAATGTGGATGGGGGAATCTTCCGGCTGTGCTATTGTATTCTGCCAGTAGGTGAGCTTTCCTTACTGCAGAATACAATGATCAGTGTTGTTGGCTTTAGTCAGTGGTACTGCTTGTTCGGGAAAAACCTGACAGGCTGTTTGTACACAAGTCAATTGATAGACTGAATTGTGTACAACCAGCTAGCCCATATATGAATCCTTGCTGAACCGGACGAATTTTGATCCATATACATTTGCAAGAAAAAGTATGTGAACCCCTTGGGATTACGTGGATCTTTGCATGAATTGGACATAAAATGTGCTCTGAACGTCATCTAAGTCACAACAATAGAAGAACACAGTCTGCTGAACATAATACTACACAAACATTAGATGTTGCCATGGTTTAATTGCACATAACATGTAAACATTCACAGTGCGGGGAGGAAAAAGTATGTGAACCTTTGGACTTAATAACTGGTTGACCCTCCTTTGGCAGCAATAACCTCAACCAAACGTTTCCTGTAGTTGCAGATCAGACCTGCACAACGATCTGGAGTAATTTTGGACCACTCCTCTTCACAAAACTGTTTCAGTGTAGCAATATTCTTGGGATGTCTGGTGTGAATCGCTCTCTTAAGGTCATGCCACAGCATTTCAATCGGGTTGAGGTCAGGACTCTGACTGGGCCACTCCAGAAGGCATATTCTGTGCTGTTGCAGCCATTGCTTTGTTGAATTACTTGTATGCTTTGGGTCATTGTCCTGTTGCATCACCCATCCTCTGCTTAGCTTCAGTTGGCGGACAGATGGTCGTACGTTTTCCTGCAAAATGTCTTGATAAACTCTGGAATTCATTTTCCCATCAATGACAACAATCCCTCCAGACCCTGAGGCAGCAAAGCAGCCCCAAACCATGACACTCCCTCCGCCATGTTTTTCAGTGGGGATGAGGTTTTGATGTTGGTGTGCTGTGCCTTTTTTTCTCCACACATAGTGTTGTGTGTTCTTCCCAAACAACTCAATCTTGGTTTCATCTGTCCACAGTATATTTTGCCAGTAGTGCTGTGGAACATCCAGGTGCTCTTTTGCAAACTTCAAACGTGCTGCAATATTCTTTTTGGACAGCAATGGCTTCCTCCGTGGTGTCTTCCCATGTACTCCATTCTTATTTAATGTTTTCCTTATTGTAGATGTGTCAACAAAAATGTTAGCATGTGCCAGAGATTTCTGTAGGTCTTTAGCTGACACTCTGGGATTCTTCTTTACCTCATGCAGCATTCTGCGCTGTGCTCTTCTTGTCATTTTTACAGGACGACCACGCCTAGGGAGAGTAGCAATAGTGCTAAACTTTCTCCATTTGTAGTCAATCTGTCTTACCGTGGACACATGAACATCAAGGTTTTTGGAGATACTTTTGTAACCCTTTCCAGCTTCATGCAAGTCAACAATTCTTGATCGTAGGTCTTCTGAGAGCTCTTTTCTGTGAGGCATGGTTCACACCAGACAGTGCTTCTTGAAACCAGTAAACCCAAAACAGGTGTGTGTTTTTTTAAGGGCAGGACAGCTGTCCGCAACACATCCAATTTCATCACACTGATTGGAGTCAAGGTTGGCTCACTCCTGGCTCCAATTAGCTCTGGGAGAAGTCATTAAGCTAGGGCCTCACATACTTTTTCCTCCCTGCACTGTGAATGTTTACATGTTATGTGCAATTAAACCATGGCAACATCTAATGTTTGTGTAGTATTATGTTCAGCAGACTGTGTTCTTCTATTGTTGTGACTTAGATGACGTTCAGAGCACATTTTATGCGCAATTCATGCAAAAATCCACGTAATCCCAAGGGGTTCACATACTTTTTCTTGCAAATGTATGACCAGCTGAAATCCCAATGTTTGTCTTTCCATCTTAGTCATCCTTCTTTTTGGTTTGATGTATAGACCACTATAAAAATGTGTTATCCCAACTATTGCACCACCTGCGTGGAGTTTTCATGTTCTCCCAGTGCCTGCGTGGGTTTCCTCCGGGTACTCTAATTTCCTCCCACACTCCAAAGACATGCTGGTAGGTTAATTGGATCCTGTCTAAACTGGCTCTAGTATGTGTATGTATGAATGTGAGTTAAGGACCTTAGATTGTACACCCCTTGAGGGTTAGGGACTGATGGAAATGTACAATATATATATTTAAAGCGATGCATAAATTGATGGCGCTATATAAGTACCTGTAGCAATAATAATAATTTAACTATCAAAAGTGTTGTATTATACTATGTTTAGGCAATCATTTTTGCATATAAATATTTCTTTGTCTATGTAAATGTGGGACAAAGTGGAGGTTTGTCCCTTGTCTATATAATGAGCTACATACTAATGAGCATGTAGAAATAATGGGGTGGCCATCATTGCATCAAGTTTTATTATGCAAAGTAAAATCACAAGCTGATGTAACTAAAGGGCTCTTTGATCTGTACAGGCCAAAACCTTGTAAAATCTGGCACTACATTTACTTCAGCTATATAGTAACCATATTTAGTAGTTTGTTCAGAATCCTGTTTTCTTTATGCAGACATCATGTATCCAAACGTATCAAAAAGAAAGGGAAGTTGAGCTATACAAGCAGTGTGTTTTACAGGTATTTGTTTATATTCAGAGAGCCTGAAGTCAGTGATTGTCAGTATGGCCTAAAACTCCTGCTGAAACCAGCAGTCATTTGGAGAAATGAAGTGATCACACATGAATTTTCAGTAAGGCAAGAAGGAGAAAAGAGCAAAGTTATTGAAAGCTGAACTCCAGGAAACTTGAAAATTCTTCCTTGGAGTGGGGCTGCACCTGCACTGCAAGGGTTAACTGCTTGTTTAGGTCTAGGGGCATGGAAAGGTAGATTTACTTACCTGATCCTCCACTCTTCCACACTACTAGACTGGTCCTCATGGTGTATTCTTCCCTTGTTTCAGCAGTCTAAAGTCCTGATGCCATCAAGACTTGAAGCAAGATCCATGGTCCTGCACTGGACATGAGGATGCCGAGGGACAGTCACCAACCAGGGCATGGGGCAGCGCCATTTGCCAGATGAATGCACGTTTGGGAAGTAAAATGCTTTTACTCTTCACTAGAATAAATGAACTGTTGCAGCCCCACTGTAAGGGAGAATTTTTTGATTTTTAGATTTCCTGGAGTTGGGCTTTAAAGGTGAAGTAACCAATCAAAATTCAGTTTACTGTAACTAATTCAGTGAAAGCTGATTTCTGACTAGTTTTTCTGTGCGCTATAAGAGCTTTGCACATTAACCTGAACCTCTGAGGAAATACTATCTTCTGCCCTTGCGTACTAGTTTTCAATAACACGGTAAAAAGGACAAACAAAAAAATGTGAATAGTCGCTATCAGCAGTACTGCCTAGTAGATGGGACATTAAACTCTGTAATTTCTATATCACTCATCTAAGTGAAAAAAGTGAACTTATAGTATGCTTGGAAAACATTAGGGCAGATTTGCCAAAACTGGAGAAAACTGGAGCTGTTTCCCACAGCAACCAATCAAGTTTCAGCTTTCATGTTAAAAATAAACAAGACTTCTAAGCCCCTTCTTTGTTGCATGAAAGTCGCAAGCAAGTCACATTGCATAGTCACACTGGAAATTGCACGCCAATGGGGTGAACTGGCGCTTAGGTTTATGGGTAGCCAATCCAATTTTGTCCTAATTTTATTTTCATGATGAATTAGCCCCACGGTTTACCTTAAAAGTTGTCAGCTTTAAAAAATGAATCATGTAGCCCCCCTACAGGGTTAAATTGTCTTTTAATCTAGGGAGATTCAAATTAAAACAAATACTTACCTTATTCATTGTTTCCCTGTTGTAGCTGGCAGATTTCACTGGTCCTGCATTGTATGCCATGATGTCAGAGCCAGTGACCAGAGAAGCAGAGAAGAGAAGAAGACTTATCGGACCGATCACATAGCTGGGAGGAAGACTGCAGGAGCGAGCAGTAAGGTAAGTATTACCACTAATTTTTTTATCCCCCTAGACTGAATGGACATTTAACCCTTGTGGTGTCAGAGGGGCCCAATGCCTGGTTAATTTTAACAGTAGGCTAGAGTTGGGCTTTAACCACACTTACATTATTTGTTGCCCTTGCTTGGCACCTAAATATAATGTAGAAAGCCAACAATAAAAATGTACCAAAATGTGTCAATTGCACAGGGAAAAGTTAACACACACATTTGCATCTAGGAAGGTAAATCCCAAAACTGAATACCTGTTTTGGAGAATTAAAGTGCTCTCGTGCTGTGGTAGTTGCATAGATTGCTCTGTTGCTCCCAGTGCTGAGCTGAAGAGATAGTGACAATCCTGTGACTACCTGAATTCCTAAATCTGTGACTGCCACTTTCTCATCTACAACCATCACTGTCTTCTCGGCTAGGATAGCATCCGAAAGAGGGGACAGTATCTGTGGAAAAGCACAGTTTAAACACATTTTTGATTTATAGCAGGCATGTAAAACAACAAAATTCACATATTTTTAAGGTTGTAGAATACAAGATAATCAAATTATATATGCCCCGACAGGAAACATTTCTCATAAATAAACCTTAATATATCAGGGAAAAAAAAGATATATTTATTAAAATAATTTAGAAGCCCAAAGGGATCTGCTAATTTTAAATTTCATAAATCAATCAGCACCCTGCTACTTCAGTTTTAGAAATAGGAAGCAAAGCAATTAAATGATAACTGCACTTGCAGTGAGGATCGTTTAGCTGTCATTGTCCTGCAGGCTGCATAAAAGCTAAATGAAACTATGTATTTTATTGAAAGTACAACTAAAGGCTCCTTTTTGACAGTCAAAACAGTGATACCAAACCCAATCACTAAGTGATGCACAAGCCTCATAAAATAAATAAAACAAAAACTTCCTTTACCCCCCCTTTAACTGAACCAATTGCTCCTTCATTTGTGTTTCAAATGACCCCCCTTGGAAACACTGCAGCTCCTAGTGGGAGGGTTTCAGCAACAGAGGTTGTGCTGTCAATTGAGAAAGCAGTGGACTAAGTATGGCCAGGTGCTGATTGACATGCTACAGGCTTGTAAATCAGCAGTAGCAATGTTGATACCCACATTCCCCACAACATTTTTTCATCCTATTGTATTGCAAGTAGGCACAGCCTACATGAAAGTGGCAACATTGTTCTGAATTCAGGAGCAGTGCACCAACATTTCCACTTTGCAGAGAGACTACAAGAAAACTGTAATTGTGGGTGCACAGAGGTATTACGCAAAAAAAAAAAAAAAATAATATATATATATATATATACACACACACACACACAGGTGAAACTCGAAAAATTAGAATATTGTGCAAAAGTTCATTTATTTCAGTAATGCGACTTAAAAGGTGAAACTAATATACGAGATAGACTCATTACATGCAAAGCAAGATAATTCAAGCCGTGATTTGTCATAATTGTGATGATTATGGCTTATAGCTCGTGAAAACCCCAAATCCACAATCCACAATCTCAGAAAATTAGAATATTACATGCAATCAATAAAACAAGGATTGTACATAGAACAATATCAGATTTCTGAAAAGTATAGGCATGCATATGTACTCAGTACTTGGTTTGGGCCCCTTTTGCAGCAATTACTGCCTCAATGCGGCGTGGCATGGAAGCTATCAGCCTGTGGCACTGCTGAGGTGTTATGGAAGACCAGGATGCTTCAATAGCGGCCTCCAGCTCTTCTGCATTGTTCGGTCTCTCATCTTTCTCTTGGCAATGCCCCATAGATTCTCTATGGGGTTCAGGTCAGGCGAGTTTGCTGGCCAATCAAGCACAGTAATCCCACGGTCATTGAACCAGGTTTTGGTGCTTTTGGCAGTGTGGGCAGGTGCCAAGTCCTGCTGGAAAATGAAGTCAGCATCCCCATAAAGCTCATCTGCGGAAGGAAGCATGAAGTGCTCCAAAATCTCCTGGTAGACAGCTGCGTTGACCCTGGACTTAATGAAGCACAGTGGTCCAACACCAGCAGATGACATGGCTCCCCAAATCAACACAGACTGTGGAAACTTCACACTGGACTTCAAACATCTTGCAGTGTGTGCCTCTCCATTCTTCCTCCATACTCTGGATCTTTGGTTTCCAAATGTGATGCAAAAGTTGCTCTCATCAGAAAAGAGGACTTTGGACCACTGAGCAACAGACCAGATCTGTTTTTCTTTAGCCCAGGTAAGACGCTTCTGACGTTGTTTGTTGTTCAGGAGCGGCTTGACAAGAGGAATACGACATTTGAAGCCCATGTCCAGGTATCCGTCTGTGTGTGGTGGCTATTGATGCACTGGCTCCAGCCTCAGTCCACTCCTTGTGAAAGTCCCCAACACTTTTGAATGGCCTTTTCCTGACAATCCTCTCCAGGCTGCTGCGGTCATCCCTGCTGCTTGTGCACCTTTTTCTTCCACACTTTTCCCTTCCACAGAACTTTCTAATAATGTGCTTTGATACAACACTTTGGGAACATCCAACTTCTTTTGCAATTACCTTTTGAGGCTTTCCCTCCTTATGGAGGGTATCAATGATGGTTTTCTGCACAACTGTCAGGTCAGCAGTCTTTCCCATGATTGTGCTTCCTACTGAACCAAACTTGAGAGACCATTTAAAGGCTCAGGAACCCTTTGCAGGTGTTATGGCTTAATTAGCTGATTAGAGTGGGACACTTTGAGCCTAGAATATTGCACCTTTTCACAATATTCTAATTTTCTGAGATTGTGGATTTGGGGTTTTCTTGAGCTGTAAGCCATAATCATCACAATTATGACAAATCCCGGCTTGAACTATCTTGCTTTGCATGTAATGAGTCGATCTCATATATTAGTTTCACCTTTTAAGTTGCATTACTGAAATAAATGAACTTTTGCACGATATTAATAATTTTTCGAGTTTCACCTGTATATATATATAGCAGCCTACCAATCCTTAAATGTAGTGGCTGCATGTGTCTAATTTTTTAGTCATTCTTTCCTTTATTTTCATCTAATGATTTGGTCAGTAACACACTTCCTGTCTTAGCGTATCTCCTCTCTAGATGAAGGAGCATCAAAGACACCTTTGGGTAGCAGTATTGTTAGTCTGGAGGAGGGTAATGTTAGATGGGCTAGCAGATTTAGTTGGACTTGACTAACAAATTAAAGCCAAACTCCAGCTAATGCATTTTTATTAGTTACAGTGACATCTTTTTTTTTTCTTTTGGGATAAGTGTTTTACATAAATGCATAAAAGCTAACCATTGTAAGTACCCTTGTCTGTGTTAAAAAAAAATGTTTGTCTCAACACTCTGACTTTCACTTTTGCTAGACAGCCTGGTCTGTTAAAGGAAATTTCAAATAACAGGCAGATATTGTCAGGATCAGCAAATGAAAACTAAAGCAGCCACCACATTTAATACCTGGTATGCTGCAACATATTACATTTTTGTTTTGGGAATTAATGATACTTTAAAAGCTGCATCATGCATTCCTTTTATTTGAAGGTCATATTTGTGCTTTAAGTAATCAGTGTGCACCCTCTGCCCCCACCACCGAAACTCACCATTGCCAACATCCTGGTTTGTATTTGAAGAATATGTTACCCCAACATTTCATATTCCTGTTATGTGTCTGTTGTACACATGCTCTTGTGTTAAAACATATCCTGTTCTCTTTGTATTGCTTCCTTTGTGTGAAATACCTGGTGTTCCTGCCAGTCCCTTTGCTTTCCTATTTCAAGGCATGAGAGCACATCCATTCCAGTCACTTTTTCCGACTGTGCTGAGAGAACAGCCTGCCTGTCCTCCAATGGTCACTGACATGCCTCCCTCTCCTCACACCCATTTATTGGGAGACTGCTGTTTCCTCACCCCCACCTCTCCAAGCTCACTTACTTAAAAAAGAAAAATATACACAAATATTTTGCCTTTAATTTCTATTTTAAACTGAATGGGTTGTTTTACAAGGTGAGGGTTTACATATACTTTAATTCTTACAGTACCAACAAGATTCTGAAAGATGAAAGATCAGGTCTGCACTAAGCCAAACTTACAGCCAGGTTCTTGTCTCTCAGTAGCTCACTGTAGTGGTAGCTGAAAGATATGTGTGTTGGGGGTTAGAATTGTTTCTATCTAAGAAAGGAAAAGAGTTTTCGTCCAGCATGCAGGGAAAATGACAGCTAGCGGATCTTTGCTGAAGTTTCAGTTAGGAACCTATAGCAATTAAAATTTTTCTAAACTAGCAGGAGTATGACAAAGCATGGTTGAATAACTCAGTGCTGTTCAAAGCCCTTCTGAAACAGTTATGCAAATTGCTACTTTTTACCTGTAAAGTTGTCATACCGGCTTCCTGCCCAATCAGCATCTGGCCTTGAATTCTTAGAACTTTTGGCTCATCCATCGTGATAAATTCACTAATTAGATCAGTTATGTCCACCTGCCAATCAGATCCAAGCAGGTAATTTAGCTGTCCAGCGACATTAGGAGATTCGGCGATGAACTGTGTGAGGACTCTCAGTAAGGCATGTTGGTATTGTAAAGTACAACCTTTACCCTTTTTATCATCATCATCGTCATCTTCACTGTCCCTTGCTGGTCTGAAAAATATGTATTTAACAGCTACATTTACAAAGATTCTTACTTTTGTCAATTTTTAATAGTAAAGTTTTTTAAACTCAACCAAGCTGCAAATACCCTGTTTCCTGACACTTTTGATTTTGAAAATAATCTGTTGAGCTCAGGCATCATATATATTTGGAGCACTACTATGGGGGCATGTTTATCTGCAAATTGGATTTTTTTTTTCAAGCGCAGTTCACCAAATCTCACACACATGACTATTTCACTACCAGCCAGAGAGTAAAGACTTCATATTTTTAAAGGAATCAGACCACCCAAGGTGGTATGTTTTGTATAAGCAGAGAATAGTTAGCTGAGTCACCTGCTGGAGTAAGATATTGGTATTGGTTTTACCTCCATTCCCATTCAACTTTGTGTATCACTATTCCTGTTACAACAGGCATGTTACCTCCCCACAGTGAACATTTTGAATAATAGTTAAAATATATTAAAAATCAAGAAAGAGAGAGTGCGACCATTATGTTTGTGATGTAAATGGTATGTAGATCTGAAAACTTAATTTTTGGAGACCACAATAATTGTATTAATTAAAATTATGTTGATAAGCTAGTAGCAGTTAGTCACATTCAGCTAGGATTGTTCTGTAATATGTAGTTTCTGTATTTTGTAATTCTGTAATGTGTACTGTAGCTTCTCCAAACCACTTCTTTGGTTCTAATGAGTGTCAGGACTCCAACATTTACATCTACACCAAATGCTTATTGTTCAAGAACAGAATAGAGGGTGTTAAAAATGTGCAACCACCCTGTTCTAGTTAATCCTATCCTTGGTGTCAGAAAGTATGCATAGGTGTCTACTCCTCAAAAACATGGCTAAAGGTGTGAATAGTTTGCAAATCACCAGGGTAGAGATGTTAAAATGGCATTATACAGTATGTGGAATGGAAAGGCTTCCATCACCTGATTAGGAAGGGTGACTCCAGTTTGAGGTACTGTAGATGGTCTCTTTCATGCCACTTGCGAACCCGTTGTCCTCTCTGTCAGAAATGTGCACCTTACTTTCCATGGAAGAATGTCCTTTTCCTTAAAGATGTAGGAAATATGATTGGTCTAGAATTTGCCCTCCTATGTTGGGCTGTTCCTTTGTTTAGAGATTGTTGTATCTCCCCAATCTACATATCTTTGAATTACTTAGTGTACTGAATATCTCAAGATACTTTTTCTTGTGTTCCGATCTTGGATGTTTTGGATGTATAGTATTTCTCAATGTATTTCTGACCTTTTTTTCTGACACTCCAGTTACATACAAGATGACCATATTACTCCATGTGATCTGCTTCTTGCTCTGTTTGATGGCACTGACTTTTTGCTTGACCTTGTGGATGTTTTAGCAAAAACCCATTCTGGGCAGCCAAAAACTTTCAGAGCACTCTTGAGATGTCTGATTTCTTTTTCTTTAGACTCTTTGCTTGTTGTTACAATCTCAGCCTGATGTTCTATTAAACCCCAGTTTGTGTTCCAGAAGGTCGTGGAAGTCAAAAAGCAGATACTGGTCTGTGTAAGGGTTTTTTGTAGACCTCAATGTCCAAGTCACCCATCCTTGACACACAGTATGGCACACTTTACTAAAATGTTATTTTGTGCTTCTTTCCATGTAAAGTTGATATATTTGTTCTTAGAAATGACATGTTCACTAAAAGCTTGTATTTATAATGTTCTAATTTTGAGCCATTATCCACATACTTGAAACAGTGACTTGTGTTATTCCCCTGAAAGAGTTTAAGGCTTTCTTCTCCACCTTATCTATGTACAGGTCTTCTACAATGGGAGACACAGATGGTGCCATAGCACATTTATGTTCCTGTCTGTAGACGTTTTCATGTACAGTTGTGTCCAAAATTATTCAACCCCCCACTGAAATTGAGTGTTTTGGCCAGTTTGACATTGCTTTTGATCATTCAGTCATCTTGCTTACATTTACATTAAAGAGGCACTTGTAGGTCAGACAAAATATAACATAACAGTTATAATGAAATAACCACAAATGTCTTTTCTGTGCTCACAGCATTATCAGTTTTATTCAACCCCCCAAGTGACATTCAATCTTAGTACTTAGTACAGCATCCTTTTACAGTTATAACAGCTTTTTAAACGTGAAGCATAGCTTGACACAAGTGTCTTGCAGCGATCTACGGGTATCTTCGCCCATTCTTCATGGGCAAAGGCCTCCAGTTCAGTCACATTCTTAGGCTTTGCGCACTGCAACTGCTTTCTTTAAGTCCCACCAGAGGTTCTCAATCGGATTTAAGTCTGGTGACTGCGATGGCCACTCCAAAATGTTCCAGCCTTTCCTCTGCAACCATGCTCTAGTGGACTTGGAGGTATGCTTGGGATCATTGTCCTGTTGAAAGGTCCAACGTCTCCCAAGCATCAGGTGTGTGACGGACTGCATCACGTTTCCATCCAATATCTCCTGGTACTGAAGAGAGAATTCATGGTACCTTGCACACGCTGAAGCTTCCCTGTACCTGCAGAAGCAAAACAGCCCCAAAGCATGATTGACCCTCCACCATGCTTCACAGTAGGCAAGGTGTTCTTTTCATCATAGGCCTTGTTCTTCCTCCTCCAAACATAGCGTTGATCCATGGGCCCAAACAGTTCTAATTTTGTTTCATCAGTCCACAGAACACTATCCCACAACTTTTGTGGTTTGTCCACATGGCTTTTGGCATACTGCAGTCGACTCTTCTTATTCTTTGGAGACAGCAAGGGGGTACGCCTGGGAGTTCTGGCACGGAGGCCCTTCATTACGCAGTGTGCGTCTTATTGTCTGGGCTGAAACTTCTGTACCCACATCTGACAAATCTTTTCTCAGTTCCTCAGCAGTCACACGGGGACTTCTCTCCACTCTACGCTTCAGGTAGCGCACAGCAGTCGAAGTCAGCATCTTCTTTCTGCCACGACCAGGTAGCGTTTCAACAGTGCCCTTTGCCTTGAATTTGCGAATGATGCTTCCTAAGGTGTCTCTTGGTATGTTTAACATCTTTGCAATCTTCTTATAGCCATTGCCCTTCCTGTGAAGAGAAATCACCTCTTCTCTTGTCTTCCTGGACCATTCTCTTGCCTTCACCATGTTTGTAACCACACCAGTAAATGTCTAGAAGGAGCTGAGTATCACAGTCATTTTAAAGCTGCCTAATTGGTGCTTATTATGCTTGATTGCTGCTCGGTGACATCCACAGGTGTTTTCAATACCTGATGGAAAGCACCTGTATGAACCTCTGTTCTTCAGAGTGGTAGTCTTTAAGGGGTTGAATAATTGTGGCAATGAAGAAACCATAAGAACCATTTACTACTGTATTACATAAACAATTGATGTCATTTTAGTTGCATTTGGGTAGTTACAACGTCCTTGTAGGATTTGATTCTGAATACAATTCCAAATGTACACTATAGTCCCTAAACCCCTTTACAGCATTGGGGGTTGAAATAATTTTGGACACAAACTGTACTTGAAATAGGTGGTATTGGCCAGGTCCAGAAAGGTCCAGCAAGTAGCATATTTGGTCTGACTTGAATTCTGTTCATCTGTCAAGGGCCCTAGCTAATATATATGTTTCCTTTCTGTCTTACTAGCCTCATAGTTACATAGTTGGTAAGGCTAAATAAAGGCATAAGTCCATCGAGCTCAACCTGTGTGGATGTGTGTTTATTATTTCCACCATTTCCCATATCCTTGTATATTGAGTTTGCTAAGATTCCCATATAATAGTATCAACACTTCCCATTGACACCACTGATTGTGGAAGGGCGTTCTGCATCCTTACTGCTCTGACAGTAAAGAAACTCCTACGCAGTTTAAGGTTTGAACCGCTTTTCCTCCATTTTCATTGGGTGGCTGCGTGTCAGGGACCCCAGTGGTTGGTGTGATCGCATGCGGGTCTGCGCATGCGTGGTGTGCCCTGCTGCACTAGCGTGCGAGCATTGAGACCAGGGCACCCGTGATTGCAGCGGCGATCACAGGCGCGAGCCTGGCATCAATCAGGGCGTAGGGCGCCCTATTTAAAACAGGATTAGACTGCAGTGAATTGCCGTATGGTCTTACCTGTTTCCTGAAGTTCCTGATTAGAAGATTGCTTTGTTGCCAACCCTGCCTGACCCTGATTTGCTGTTTGTCTCTTGCTCTGATCCCTGGCTTGTCTGACCATTCTCCTGCTTAACCCTGCACGTTCTAATCTCCTGTTAACGAACCCAGCTTGTGACCTGTTTATCCCTCTGCCTGCTGATTTTGTACTACACCTACCACCACTGTTACCGACCCGGCCTGCACGACGCTGCTCTTGTTACCTCCTCACATCAGACTCTCACCTGCTATACACCTCCAACGGTGCTTCTACCACAGCTGGATGAACCCAGGGGCAGCGACCTGGTCTTGGCCTGCTCCAAGTCCATCCCCACCATTAGGGGCCCTGGTGAACAAGCAGGTCGGAGCTTAGATTCCGCGCCTTGGGGGAGTCCGGTCTGTGGAGTGCTAGAGGCTACCGCGGTAGGATCCCTGACACTGCGTTTCTTCTTAAGTTCCCTGAGACAGAATAGTTTCCTCTCTATGAAAGAATCACCACTGAGATATTTGTATATTGCTATCATATCTCCTCCCAAGCTCCTCTTCTCCAGGGAGTATACGTTTGTTGCTTGTAGTCGTTCCTCATAGTTCCTCCAGTCCCCTATTAGCGTTGTTCGCCTTCTTTAGACTCTCTGCAGTTCCTGCACATCCTTCCTGAGGACTTGTGATCAGAACTGGACAGCATACTCAAGATATGGCCAAACCATAGTCTTGTAAAATGGTAGAATTATAGTTGTGTCTTTTGAGTAGATACCCTTTTTAATGCATGCTAATATTCTGCTTGCTTTACTTGCATTGCTTGTCCACTGCTGAGCCTGTGATCTACTAGGACCCCCACATTTTTTTCCATCCTGGATACCCCCAAAGGTTCATCTCTCTAGCGAGTAACTTGCATTTATATTTTTAGCCCCCAAATGTATTACTTTCAACAATAAACCTTATTTGCCATGTAGTTGTCCACTTGTCTATTTTATTGAGGTCTTCTTGTGAAGTTGCTATATCCTGCTGTGAAGTTATTGCCCTGCTTAGCTTTGTATCATCAGCAAACACTGAGATGGAGCTATACCGATATAACCTCTATATCATTTATAAATAAATTAAACAGAATTTGTCCCCGGACAGAGCCTTGGGGTACCTCACTTCCCACTCCAGACCATTCTGACTACACATTATTTATCACCACCCTTTGAAAGTTCCCCTGTAACCCTTTTTTATCTGAAACTAGTTAACAAGTTTGTATACAACCATCCTTTAAGAGGAGTTTAGAGCTGAACTAAAAAAAACTGTAGCTGCTAACTTAAGAAAGAGAAACTCACCTGTCCAGGGATCCAGATCCATTGTCACCCGGGCAGTTCTTTACAGCCTCCCGGGACCTGTGATGTGTCCCAGAAGGTTGGAGGTAATTTTGTAGGGCTCTGGCATTGCTCATCCTGTTCCTCCTTGCACAAAGGAGCAGATACCGGTCCTTCTATGGCCCTGTCCAGCTCTCTAGAGTAACTACCTGTCTCCTGGAATCTCCTCCATGCTCTTGAGACTGTGCTCAGAGACACAGCAAACCCTTTGGCAATGGCACGTATTGATGTACCATCCTGGAGGAGTTGGGCTGCCTGTGCAATCTTTGTTGGGTCCAGGTTTTGTTTCATGCTACCAGTAGTGACACTGACCCTAGCCAAATACAAAATAATGTCAGTGGCCTCCACCTGTAAAACCATTCCTGTTTTGGGGGTCATTTCATTGTCTAGTGCACCTGTTGTTAGTTTCATTTCCATATATATATATATATATATATATATATATATATATATATATATATATAAGGAAAACATGAGAGACTTCCTCTTTTGGGTGATGTTACACTTTAATACAAAGTTGAAATGCATATATGGCAACCTGCCAAACATTTTAAAATTTTGTAAAGTGAAATAAGAATTTAGGGTGAACTGACCTCCTTGGCCAGCAGATATTGGACAAATACATGTTATGCATGCTTACTAGTATAAATTCTCCAATTGCATAATTAGTGTTAAAGGATCTTTTTTGACCATTCTCATTCATGAACCATCAGCAAAATATTTGTAATTTTCAGTGGTAGTGCCAGGTATTAAGGGCTTGGCCTTAAAAATAGTTCTGACAAACAGTATAGTTCCTTTCCAAACTAAAATTCCTCTTCTGAATTAAATTGTAATAGTTATAAATAAGGTGTACTGTAAAATGCAAGAAAAGAACCTTATATTGGTAACCATTTTATAACAATTGTAACATTTTTCTATAATGAGGTAAGGAGTCATAAATTATAAAAACATTTTAACTAAATATAAAATATAACATATACAGTATGTTTATTGCTTATAACTTTTTTCCTGTACTTTAACATTTTATGTTGTAATCCTTCAAGACATCATTGTGTGTAATAAATGCACTGTTACCAGTAATGAGTTAAAACATTAGCATTCTCTCTTATCCTCTTAGCATTCTGCATGTTAATATACTGTAAATCAGCACTAATTACAAAGATTACTGAAATGCATTCATACAAATGAAGGAAAATAAGATAGTACATACCTCTTATTTGTCATAATAGGAACCCTCCAACCTTTGATCTGATTTAATTCTGTGTCAGACACATCTATCAGCAGAGGGAGCCGTGGCACCCAAACTGTCATTTCCAGTGAGGCTTTAAAATGTTGATACGTGAAGTTCACAATGGCATTAACCTTTCCTTTCATTTCCTTTCCATTTACAAAGACATAGTCACATCGTTCTGAAATCTGCAAACATGAGAAAAAGAACATGCTTACTGTCTGGTAAAACTGCAGAGATGTTTATAGGGCAATAAAGTGTTATTTCTGAGCCCTGACAGAAACCTACTGTTGTAACATCACGGTATGGAATTTTCAATGCCAATGTGTTATTGATTGGAAAGGAATCAAACAGCTAGCAAAAGCTCACAGATAGCAAAGAACACAGAACTGAAACCAGATCAGACGTGCATTTTCAAACTAAGGTTAGTAATCACAGCTTGGGTATTTCCCACGTGTGATGTTACCTTAGAGCTATTAAATGATACCATACTTAAATGTCAACTCAAAGCTGAATTACATATAAGATAGCTGTTTACCTGCCAAAGCATTTGCATTCTGTCTATCCAGTTATTATTATTATACAGGATTTATACAGCGTCAACAGTTGGCTCAGTGCTTTACAATATAAAGGGAGACAATACAGCAATGATACAGTTGAATACAAGAGGGTTAGGAGGGCCCTGTTTCTTGGAGCTTACAATCTAAGAGGGGGGAGGGGGCTAGTGGTACAAAAGGTAATAACTGTAGGGGATGAACTGATAGGAGAAATAGATGTTTGTGTTATTAGCTGAAGGCAGGATAGGCTTTCCTGAAGAGATAGGTTTTCAGAGATCACCTAAAAGTGGGCAGAGTAGGCGATAGTCAAATAGATTGGGGTAGAGAGCTCCAGAAGATGGGGGAGGCTCTGGAAAAGTCCTGCAGATGAGCATGAGTGGGGGGGACAAGGGAGCTAGAGAGCAGGAGGTCGAGGGAGGAGCGGAGAGGACGGTTTGGATGATATTTGGAGACAAGATTGGTGATGTAATTTGAGGCAGAGTTATAAATGGCTTTATATGGGATTGTTAATATTTTGAATTTTATTCATTGGCAATGGGAAGCCAGTGGAGGTACTGGCAGAGAGGGATGGCAGATATGGAATGGTTGGTAAGGTGGATGAGTCTGGCAGCAACATTGATGATAGCCTGAAGAGGGGATAGCCTGCAATTAGGTAGGCCAATGAGGAGGGAGTTACAATAGTCAAGGTGAGAGATAACAAGGGAGTGAATAAGTTTCTTAGTGGTTTCAGAGTTCTGATATAAATATAGCTCAGTGACACAGCACAGTCCCACCATGGCATGGCAAGGAACCTGATTATTATCTCCTATATTTAAATAATATTACAGACCTCAAACCCAGCCTAAGCCCAAGCCCCAGCACCAACCTGTGACTGGACAGTGAAGGAGAAGCAGCAGACTGATGAGCTAAACTGTCTACCACTCTGCTCTATCCTATCATGAATGCTCCTTGTCAGCACATGAACTAAATAGCTCCTTGTGTTGCTTCTCATGCTCTCATTCTAAGCTCTACTGTGTACAGGACTGCAAGAGGCTACAACCAAGTCAAAATCAGGCACTTAAACTGTTTGCATTTAAAAAATTAATTTAAGTATATCCAGATGTGCATTAATTTGTGTACTTTATATCTGCCTGGAATTCAACTTTAAAACTGTATTAAAATGAACCTAAACCCTAGTTGGATGACATTTAGTTTAACACATGGTGTTTTTAAATATTGTTTTTTTTTTATTCAGCCTTCTTGATTTCTGAGTGCTTCTGATCTCCACCAGTCTCTTTCAGCCAATTATTGTCTACATGCAAATGCTCCAGTGTCAGATGTATAATTTCACTATTAATTCTGATCTTTAGTCATCTAACAGCTACAGTTCTAAGCCCACATACTTGGCAATAAGGCCCCAGGCACATTTAATTTGGGAAGTCATTCTTTTCTCAAGATGGAAGAAAGATTGGGTATCTGTCGTTTTAAAGATAAACTTGATCAAATTTATTGCATTGGTGCTTGGAGAATGGGATGGAAGGTGGGGGGAACACAGGGTACCTAAAAGTGTATTTTTCTAGAACACAGTTTCTGGTTCTGTTTTCTAAACTTTCTTGGTCCCACTCTCTATGATGGCTGGACACTAAACATAGGCTGTTTGGCAAATGAGGTGCAATTGGCAACTCAATGTTTCAGTTCCAAGACAGGACAGCATTTTAATGTTTTCCACATATACTTTCCACTCAATCAGTCACTATCCACCTCTCTTCTGGGATGGAGTTGCATGCCTCCTCTAGGCCTCAATAGTAGCCAACATTTTAAAGGATTTCCTCCCAGGAGGAGAGATTCCTGCAGCATTCCAATCCTTAGATCCAAAGGCACAGGAGAAAGAAAGTTCTCACAGTTGCATGAAGAAAAACCATGTGTCAGGAAATGCCTCAAATATTCAGTATCTTTTCAGCCAGCTCACCAGGCTCCCCAAGCCTACTTGTAATCTGGTTATGATTTGGATGCAAAAAAAAAAGGAGTATAATAAAAGGGCTAAAATACCTACCTACGTGTGAAAAAATGTAGCTTGATTTTCCCTTTCAGTGCTGCTCACAGCCTAGGCATTTGACCACATGATCAGCCTACCTGAACTCAGACCATCCCCATTAGTAGAGATAATGTAGAAAATGTATTTTGTGACCAGCATTAGAAGGGAAAGAACGCAGACTTTTCTCCAATATAACAAGCAAGAAAATGAAGATGGAAATCTGAAAATTCAATTGGCTTGCACCTTCTGAATATGCTAGTAAATATGTGTCAATTGATTTAGAGGCAGAGTTGTAGAAATTATGTGAAAAATATTCCTAGGCCTGTCTAAGTATTGCAACATTCCAAAAAGTTTTCCAGTACTGCCATTGTCATTAGATTAACAGAGCAGAAAATGGTCATCAATTACTGGGAGAAATGTTCTTAGCATGGCTCTGTCATGTTCACTGTGCTCTCCATATTCCTGAAAAAATACTCCTGGTGACTATACTAGTGTTCACTATACGGCTAGTATGACTCTGGCAGAGGATCTCTGGTGCATAAAATTATTTTGTTCAGAATGCCTTTAGCATACTGCTGCACATGCTCAGCACCTGATCATTAATAAAAGACCATGACTATTGCTAATAGTCTACTCCATCACCAGAACTAGGGCTACAGTTATGTCTGATGTTACAAGAGTTTGTCACTGTCTTTCTGTACACCAACTACACTACCATGAAAGCAAAGAACATTAATGATAAAAAGTACAATTTGAAGTATTGTGAAATTCCATTTATCAAATAAATATTAATGTGTATTTTGACATATTTAAATTTCATTACATGTGCATTATATGCTTCTTCTTTACAAACAAATAGCAAAGTGCCTATGCCATCCTAAAACTGACCTAAGACAAAATTTTGTAACATCTGTAGGCTGGTTGGATGAATGCCATAAATAGATTACAGCTGAATTTGGATTACACACAGATTAAATACATATCAATGGAATTAAATCTAAAATGTGTATGCAGAGAAAAAACAACTTGTAAAAGAGAATGCTTTTAATCTGATTCATGTTCCAGTATGAGGAGTGCTTCCAAGACAACCAGGCAGGCCTCAAAGATTGTCTTTGGGTTAAGGACACTGACAAAGAGTCCAGCTTGGCTTTTGTGAGATTTGAAATGACATCAGTTAGAAGCATTAGTTTAGAATTTGGAACTCTCTGGAAGAAGTTCAGAAAGGTTCTGTTATTCTACTAATCAGCTTTAGAAGCAGGTGGGCGGAGAGAGGCTTTAAGAAAGGAGAAGTTTTCCTTTATATTTTGCTACCACTGTGCTCTCCTGCCAATTTTGCTGGTCTGTGATTAGAAATTTAAACCCTAGGTTTTAATGCCAGCAGTTTTGATCATGGAAATGTTGCATCCTTTCATATTTCAACATTATAATATTTAATGTATATATGCAGACATTTACATGGTGCCTCTTTAGCTGTTCTACACCCAAGATGTCATTAGATTCTTCATAGGCAAACTGAAGTTGCTGACTTAATTCCTCTATAATACCTGTGCACATTTAACAAGCACATAAATTAAAACTTACGTCAAGAATTCAGCTTAGTGAAGTGGTTTCACACACACAGCCACCTGGAATTGTAGAGTATCAAATAATACTATATTGCAGAAACACTCATTTAATAATTCAACTTAAAATGGAGATTTAATTTACAGGTGGACAATAGTGGCCTGAATCGCCCACTTGAACCCAAGCTGTATTAGTGCCAGTCTTCCTGGTGAATAATTCATGTTTTATATTATATAGAGTGTAACTGGAGGAGTAGGAACATTCAAAGGTGGGTACAAATAGTCTAAAATTGCAAGAGTAGACAGAGCCAGGAATAATGACAAGGAAAATTGGTGTTTCCAATAGATATAAAAAGCCAGTCAGACCCTCAGATCACCAAACTACAATCAAAATGTAAACATTTAATAGGAATATTTAGGGTTTTGAAGAAAAATTCTGCTCCCAGTCTGGATGGCTGATACTTACGCTATCTTAAAAAATGTTCCTCTATACATACCCCTTTTAATCTGGCTATATTTTACAGGATCACCAGTTTCTGGAGGAAATGTTGTTAGCCAATATGTGTTTACTTCCTCAGCCTAACAAAGATCATTCACTTCCCCAAAATTTTCACCCCATCTGTGATCAACAATGATCTAAAAAGTTTTAGCTGTATCTTAGCTGATAGGTTGGCTTCTATCATTCCTACATTATTTTAACTTTTTCACTCAGGCTTTATCCCAAATTGTCAGATTATGGATAATATCCATCTGGCCACTAAAAAGTTCTATTGTTAGGTTTCAATATAAATAAGGCCTTTGATAGTATTATGTGGCAATATGTATCCCTTCTCTTGCAGAGCTATGGCTTTCATGGAGCTTTTCTACATGGCTTTAATGGCATTTATTTATCCCCGAAGACTCGTGTTAGGATATTGAGCTGAAACCCAGAGTTCTTCATTTTAGGGAGAGGTACTAGGCAAGGTTGGCTTTCTTCCTTGCTTTTTGCTTTGGCAATTGAACTCCTGGCTATT